AGTGAAACTTGAAGGTTCGATACGTATGCTGGGCAACACAGTTAACTAATTGTATGAATTTATTCAAGCTGGTTTGAAATTTTGGAAGGATTCCTCCCTCTGGCGTTTCCTTATAACTTAGAGTGAATTGGTCCGTGATGATGAAAGTGTGCACTACGATCGCGCTATTTTGTATAACTGTATCCTGCTTTGAATTATATATATATATATATATAGCTTTTTTTTTTTAATGGCTACTGTTGCTTGTGGTAGCCGGGATAGCGCAACGGTGTAGCGACTGGCTCCGGTCTGGACAACCGAGGGGTCGGAGTTCGAGTCCATGTAGGATTTAAAATTTTGTCTGCATCCAGGCTGGGTCTAGGGCCTACACAGGCTCATATCGAATGGGTACCGGGAGATCTTTCCCCGGGTAAAGCGGCCGGGGCGTGAAGCTGACCAGTCACCTCCAAATAATGCCGAGGTGAAGAAATCGTGGATCCACTCCCATATACGCCTTCATGGCATAGTACTTAATTAGTTAAGCACAGGGACAACTTTATTTTTCTGTTACTGTTGCTTAAGAGCTGAGATAGCGCAGTTTTGTATCAGTGGGGTTCGAGTCCCGGTAGTGGGAAGGGTTTGCTCCATGTCCAGCCACCTATCAAACGGGTAACGCGGCTCTTTCCACGGGGGTAAAGCGGCAAGGGCGTGAAACTGACAACTCACCTTGAACTTGCGTCGAGGTCGAGATTACATCCACTCCCCATAAGCCTTATTGGCGTGGTGCTTAACTAAGCACAGGTACGTCACGTTCAGCGTAGTGTTATTGATTTCGATGCGTACATGCTTCGGTTAGTGAAATTTGTAAGTTCTTTTCTTGGGGGGGGGTATTTTTGATCGTTTTGGAACGTAACCCCTAATTACAGCAGCTTTGTGGCAGTGCGAAATAGCCAGTCATCTTGGAGAATTCTCGTTACGGACTACCCCCAGAGCGGGTAATGCTTCTGTAATGAAATTAGGATGACTCCAGGCTTCCCGTGTCTCGTAATGTGTTACAAGACGCTTATGTTGAAGCCATCTATGTTTAGGGCCATCACAGTTTTGTAAGGCTTCGAGCCTCGCGTCGAACACGGATACGGGTACAGTTACCGGAACTTCACCGGTACTTAACTATTGTGGCGTAAAGACTCGTTGTTGGCCATGGACCTCGACACGGACGAGTTGAGCCGTTCCTATGCAGTAGGCGGATAAACAAACATCCGTTTCTAAGCAGCGGCTCGGTAAACACGTTCCCGCGTAAGCGATACATTTTCTATCGCTAGGCAACTGCCCATGAAAACAATAGAAGGATTGTTGGAGGCGGTGTTTTCTGTTGTGTTCGCCCCGGGTTATATGACGACACCAGCCTGTGAAAAATCATGATAATGAAAATGTTCGCAATATTGGACAAGGCGAAGCCCGACATAGAAAGTATAAAATGCATAAACTTGGCGATGATCAAGCATACGACCGTCAAGTGACTAGACTGCCGTTGTAGCGGAAGCTACTAGAAGTAGGACACAATTTGCTGCACTGAGCCTGGACTGACAGAGGCCATATATATATTAACATATTTAACATGTAAAATTTAAATATCCTTACATTATGACATGGTTGAGGCACTATGCTACAAGCCGGAACGTCGCGGGATGATTTTTTCAGTTCACATAATCCTTCCAGCCGCACTGTGGCCCTGGGGTCGAGTCAACCTCTAACAGAAATGAGTACCAGGAATATTCTTGGGGATAAAGGGCGGTCGGCGCGTAGGGCTGACAACCTTGCCGCCATCTATGAGATAATTTTCTATAAAATGTGGGAACCTCAACATCTCACAACCTTATGGGCCTCCACGGCCTCTTACAGGGATACCTTTACTTTTTACTATAGACAGTGACTCTGCCAAAAGACAGACCCGTCCACTCGTCAGAGAGGGCGCGCCACAAAAGAGGACCGAGACTGTCAAGCAGTAATAAATATCAGGTCATAAGCCCCAGATTTGCCTCGATACCACGATTGACTGACCGACCGACCGACCGTCAGTCGCAGTGTCACTTTGACTTTGACTTTGGCTGCAGCAGAGAGTTGTCAGCAGTTCAGTGGAGTGAAGTGACTTGAAGTAGGTGGTTGGTGAGTGTGAGGGTTCAGTTGTCAGCAGTTCAGTGGAGTGAAGTGACTTGAAGTAGCTGGTTGGTGAGTGAGAGGGTTCAGTTGTCAGCATTTCTGTGGAGTGAAGTGACTTGAAGTAGCTGGTTGGTGAGTGAGAGGGTTCAGTTGTCAGCATTTCTGTGGAGTGAAGTGACTTGAAGTAGCTGGTTGGTGAGTGAGAGGGTTCAGTTTTCAGCTCATTTCAGTTGAAAGCCAGCCTGTGAGAAGACTAGGAGATTGGTGTGAAATGGCCGCCAGCCTGGGACTCAGTTAGTTGTCAGTTGACAGGAGTTCTTCGCAGATGGCCTTGACAAGAGCATTTGAGCGCGGGAAGCTGAAAGTGTCCACTGTTAGAAGCCGTTTCCAAGAAACAGCTTTGTTGAGACTGGTTCATGTGAGTGGTAAATAAATCCAATTCGTCCAATCCATATCCCGTCTGTAGTCGCACACCTCTAATACGTGGCAGTATTAACGGGTGGTCGGATAAACTTTAAATATTACGGCCATATTGTCTGATGCTTAGCGCTTCAAACCGTAGAAGTAAAATAAACTGAAAGCCTAACACTCAGCGTTTTTTATAGACTTGTTTTTAAAAACAAAACCGAAACATGGCCTTTTTCAAAACGGAACGTAAGGCCTAACGTTTTGAAGAAGGAAAGAAGAATAGGATTGGGGGGGGGGTTGGAGACGAATTCTGAGGTTGGGCTTTGGGCCTTGTTTTTACAAACGTTAGCGTTGAGGAAAGATTTTTCCTGTGTCAGAAGTTGCAATACAAGATTAGTTTGAGCTGGATGAAGGAGACCTTGGATTGCAACTTCTGACACAGGAAGAAATTGCTGCCGTTATATTTTTATTTTCATCAGCACTATATACCTATATTATTACATTTTCATTTAGTTGTTTCTAGGGCCGCGCCATAACTCAAGCGGTTAGTCGCTGGCTTCCCACCGCGGCGGCCCGGGTTCGATCCCGGGGTCTCATAAAGTGGGATTTGTGGTGGACAAAGTGACGCTGGGGCAGGTTTTCTCCGAGTACTTCTGTTTCCCCTGCCAATCTTCCACCAATTGCTCCACAGTCACCCTCACCTATCATGTGAGGCTGGTACAATAGGCCAGAAGTGGCCGCAGTACAAGGGACTTAGTCCCATCCTACTAGCAATTAAAAATAGTTGTTTTCTAAGTTTTTTTTTATCTCTTTTAGGGCTATATTGTGCTTCATTAATCCGGATGACCTCTCCCCTCCAATTCGGGTTAGCAAGGGTTTTACTGTACTTGGAGAACACCGTTTTCACACAAATCCTACGCGGCCTGTCCTGGGATCGAACTCGGGCCTCCGCTGAGTCCGGTGACTAACCGCTTAGGCTGTGGCACGGCCTGTTGTAATATGTTAAGTGTTACGTTTGCAGAAAACAGTGAAGTGGCCGCACGCATTGTGCAGGCGAGAAATGCATAGAGGATTTTGGTTTGAGGACCTTAGAGGGAGCATCCATCTTGTAGAGTGCGCCGTAGTGGAGGATTTTAAAATGGATCTTAAGAAATCGAGTATGTTAGTCTAAATCATTCTTGTGGTTACGTTAAAGGTAAAGAAAGATAAAGTTATCTCTGTGCTTAACTAATTAAGCACTACTTCATGAAGGCATGTGTGGAAGTGGATGTATAAATCTACATTTTCTTGATGGCAGCACTAGTTGGAAGTGAGTGGTCAGCTTCACGCCCCGGCCTCTTTGCCCTCGGGGGGAGAGCCCCCGGTACCCATTGGATAGGAGGATGGGTGGGCCCTAAAACCGGTCTGGACGACTTGGAGAGGAGAAAATCCTTGCCGCTAATGGTACTCGAACTCCGACCTCTCGGCCGTCAAGCCCGCAGGCACTCGCTATACCGATTAGTCCCTCCCGTCTCCACGTCCTTGAGATTATGTTGTCAGATATGTATTTTGTATCTAATTTATTTTTAAGTAGATTGTTAGTCCGGTCTGGAAAACCAACCTTAACGGCCATGGGAATCCGTTGCGCTGACCACGCGACACACACTATATCTGCTAAAGTTGGCACTAACTTCGCCGACAAGCGGCGGTCGCTCGGTCGGTATAGTTCGCTTGCAGACCAAAGGCCACGGAGTACTAGTACATTGTACGTATGTCTTGTGAGTACTGAAGGAACAGACAACATTTCTTACCTTGACGCGGTAACATTAGTAGCGGTCACTGTTCCCACGCACCTCCAATTGACTTCCAGTCGCGGCGACTTGTGATTGTTAAGGGATGTTTCCAAATGCGGTGCAGCCACTGTCCCGCTGTTGCATCTTGCGCTGCCTGTACTTCGATTATGAGATCAGCGTTTTCTCTAAAAGTATCGTCTCATAAATCCGTATGTTTCGGGCGTAAATGTGCACGTTATCTCGTTGGTCTGCTCTGTTATCTGGTTTATATTTTGTTGTTAGCCTTCTTATTTAACGATAGCGATAACGGATAATCAGTGGCGAGTGAATTGTCTGTCTGTACGGCACTGCTTCTGTATGTCCTCTTGTGTGCCCAGTGCAGTATGCACTTGGTGTACGTGTGTGGGTGTATGAGTTTGGAGGCGCAGCGTGCCGCATGTAAGCTTAAGTAGGCTATGAACTGAAGGAAGTTAACTGATTCCTGCTATATGTCCACGTCTTAAAGTGTTCTGAAGTGGTGCTTGATTTTTGTGCTGTGGTGTGTGTAATATTTGGCTGTTTGGGTGTATACTTGCTTCGATATTCGTCGTCTTAAAATTTCTTGGACTGGGCTCTTCTTGTAGGCCTTTTCCCCGAGTATTTTGCCATAACGTTAACGCCAGTATTTTCGTTGTGCTGCAGACGATTTAAAGGACAACACAGCTGAGGAAATTGAAGGACCAAGGAAGTCGCCATTGGTCACCATATCCCATCGTGGACGAAGAAGTTTCTTCTACAGAGGAAGATTTTTGTTTCAAGGATATTTTTATACGTGAGAAAGTGCATTTAACGAGACAGTTCCACTTCCTTGAGCAGCATATACTTCAGCGAAGCGTAGACGTTGGTGTGCAGTGTTGCCATCGCTGTTTAACAGCAATGCATTGACTTTCATCATCAGTGTGTTGGGCGTGTTGTCTGTGTGACTCGTGAAAGTTCAGTGCCAGATTAAAACGTGTAATTAGCTTCAGTGACATCCGAGTACGCGGTCTTCAGGACTGTTGTTTGTGCCTGTTTAAAATCGTGGGTCGGAGGAAAATGTCGCTGGAAGGGGAAGGAGACAAATCCAGAATTGTGGCAAATATTTGTAAGGAGGGAGTGGAAAGAAATGAGTGTAACAGAAGATATGAAGAAACACAGCCAGTAAAATTAACTGATATCTTTGGTGAAACTAAGAGTGGCAAGTGCGTCACTTGCCCGCTGCCTCAGAAACCTGTACCAAAGCGGAAACACCTTCCAGCCTTATATTCAGATTCAGAACCCAGCGAAGATGGGCGTATATCTCGCGGTGAAAGTTTTTCGGATGAACAGCGTGTTCACCACTTTACGAGCAGTTCTAAGACGCAGCAAGATGACTGGCAGGTACGCGACAGGTCGACTCGCCCATACATGACACCACCACGTCAGTCGGAGTATCAGCAGCCATTGGCCCAAGAAGGTCAGGTTAGTCCGGTGAATTGCGGAGTTCAGGCACTCCGTTCACTCGACGCTGCTGATCACGATAGCAGTTATCAGCAGCAAAAACCATTACGTAAGGATAAATATGTTGACACTAGCTTATGGCATAAGTTGCTGCTTCCCGAACTGAGACACGTTAAACGCTGCAGGCCATCTGAGAACAGATGCTATGTTTATGAGGACCAGGATCGTTTCCAGGATGCAGAGAGCAGAATGGTGCAGGCTGTGGAGGAAGGAATTGGGCCTTTACGTATCACCGAAGATCAGCCAGTTCGTGCAGAGATGTCGGATAAACGGATTAAGAATGTCGAGTTGATAAAGAAACTCGTGGATTCTGTGGGCACTGATTGCCTTAAGGATGTAGCAAGGCAGTTGGAGATAATCGAGCAGGGACAGCTCGCCAACCTGCATTTGGATCCAGCGGATGAGGACCCAGCGTTCGCTGCTGTGATTCCCCGTCCTGACGTATATGCTGCCGAGGGTGCTGACGGTGGAGGTTCAGCATTCCGTCGAGGGGAACCTGTTCGCAGCAGTGCAGGTGGTGTTATCGAAACGTCAGGCAAAGCATGGTCTCGGCCACACACCCCTTCTGATAACGGAGGCCTCATATCTCCTGTTAAAAATGTAAGAACGCCAAGCCGCCATGGATTTGGAAGAACTCCTGTTAGACGCCATTCCAAATCGCCTACATCTTCGCCGGTGCCTAGACGAACACGACTTATGAGGACTGGAGACGGGAATGATGCATCTTACGAGGTATGCATTGCTAAACTAGTATATACTGTCTTAATTTACCTAAATTAAGTAACTCAAATGTAATTTTAGCAGAAAGTGGCTGTGCGTTTTGTGGGGAATGCTGGTGCATTGCGATTAAGTAGTTTGTATAGCAGGGATTTACTTTTCTGTTCGTGTACAATGTCACGTGTTAATGACTAGATATGGGATTTTGATTGGTTATTGAATTTATTGACCAATTATACACTCACTGACACACACACACACACACAGACAGACTAGTGTCCACAGTCTATTACAGTTTCCACTAGCCGTTTGCTGGTAACGGATAACAATCTCGCTGAATTACACACTCCAAATTCCACTGCAATTACAACAGATATGAAATCTTCTCTTCGCCGTCTGGCCAGTAACTGACAACTCTTGCAACTCTTGCAAGTGTCTCGTTGCCCGAAACCCTCGCGGTTATAACATCTCGGCACGGACGGCACAGAAAACAGTTCCACTATTGCTGTACCATTGTTACGTTCGTGTCTGTTGCTGCGGTAACGGGTTTACCGTGTCGGTGCGTAGAAACTGTTTGGCTTAGTTATTTATCTCTTGGTCGTTTCATAATAACGGCTCTACACGCTACAGATGAAGTGGCGAGGTTTAGGCGCGTGCCTTCATGCCCTGTCACGACCTGTTCAAAGGATAAGGTGGTTTCTCCTAGTTTTCAGGATTTAATTTGGAGTAAGTTATATTCTCGCACAGTTTGGGGGAGTTAGCAAGATTTACTGTAGTCACCGTCGGGAAATGGATCTGCTGCCTGTGAGATATTTCGCGAACTTATTGTAGCTGTGTAGGAAAAATTTAGAACTTTGCTGTGTTCGTATCGGAGGTTGTAGAGGAATTTTATGTTCCTGCTGTCACCGTACAGCCTGGTAGGGGCCTCCAACAGTGTGCAGAACTGCACTTTTCGTGACTACAGGAACATTTTCTAGTTTACTGTAGGTGCAGAGAGGCTGTAAAGCTAGTTAGGTTCCTGCTGTCACCGTACAGCCTGGTAGGGGTCTGCAACATTGTGCAGAACTGCACTTTTCGTGACTCTACAGGAACATTTTATAGTTTACTGTAGGTGCAGAGAGGCTGTAAAGCTGCTTGGGTTCCTGCTGTCACAGTACAGCCTGTTAGGGACCTGCAACAGTGTGCAGAACAGCACTTTTGGTTACTGTACAGGAACATTTTATAGCTTACTGTAGGTGTAGAGAGGTTGGAAAGCTGCTACCACCATGCAGCCTGATAGGGACCTGCAGCAGTGTGCAGAACAGCACTTTTCGTGACTGTACACCAGGCATCCCCAACTTGAAACAGGTTGTGATAGACTTTTTAGTGTCAAAACTGCCAGTGATCTCCCACCCCCTCCTATCGTCGTACCTCGCTTAAAGCAAAAATGTTGGTAAAAATATCACGACACATGATGATGTAAAAACAACATACGAGTACATTGAAAGTACAGACTTGTTCGTTAGTGAGACGTCTTGGCCTGCATTTCATCCACCAGCTGTTGAAAGTGAGGTGAGTATTGGGTGAGGGCCAGTTCCAGGCAATTCTGGAGATGTTCATCTGTCATGTTGGAGCGTTGTTTACTCTTTGTCATTTTTAGGTAGGAAAACGCAGATTTACACAAATAAGTTGAACCGAAACAGTAATGTAGGAATTCACTGCATCTTCTTAAGTTGGGAAATTTCTGTCTAGGCACTGACTTCCAAAACGATTCTTGTCCAGCACGAGTCTTGAGAAAAATGCCATTTTTAAGGGTTAATATCTCATTTTCAAGAGATGCCTTGCTCAGTGGGTAATTTCCACAGAGAGTAGCTGCAGTTTCTCTAATGTTTAAATCTGATTTGAAAGGGAATGACAAGTACTCTACAGCTGTTCTAATTTTTTGGAAGTCACAGAATCTATTTCTGAAATCTTGGATAAGAGAACAGATTTCGGTCACGTACTTCTCTGTCTGAAAAACAAAATTAGGATATTTTTTCAGATGGTCCTGCATATTAGGAAAGTCATCAGAAGTATTGTTTGTAAGGTCAGTCATCGTTAGCTCGAATTTGCTTTTGTAGTATGAAACTGTACTCATCATCACAGCAATGCATTTGTTTTTACTTTGTAGTTCAAGGTTCATATCACTTAGTTTGCCTGTAAAATCAGCGAGAAATACCAGATCAGATAACCGCTTCTCGTCTTCTTATTCTGCTTTCTCAACTCCCCTCTCCTTTAAAAAACTGTTTATTTCACTCAGCAAACTACGAAATCTCTGCAAAATTTTGTACCTATTCAGCCACCTTACATCTGTTTCAAAATGATATCCGGTATCCCTTCCTCAGGAGTTAGATTGAAAAGCTATCTTTGAAGTGATTTTCCGCGAATTGAATTTACAATTTTAAAAGCTATGTAACAGTCTTTGTATCGAGTCTCTTGCTTGCCAAAACTTGCCGGTGAATGATGCAGTGGTAAGAAAGGAAATCAGGGAAGTCGTCATGCTGTCTGCAGAGGGCAATAAAACCATTAACCTGACCTGTCATTGATTTTGCTCCATCAGTAGTAATGGAAACAGTTTTATGTAATGGAACATTAGACTTTGTGACAAAGGAATAAAATATTTCCTGACCCGTAGTTCTCCCCTTTAAAGAAATCATTCCATTCTTTGACGCTGAAATCTTAAAAAACCATAAAAAATAGTAACTGGGCTGCCTCTGATGTCTGTAGATTCATCCAGTAAAAAGTAAAGTAAAACTATCCCTGTACCAGGCCGTGAAGGCCCATAGAGTTGTGAGAGGTTGAGGCGCCCACAATATCTAGACAATCGGGTCACAGATGGCGGTAAGGATGTCAGCCTTACGCGCCGGCCGCGCTTTACTCCCCAGGAAAATTATTTAATTAATTCCTGGTACTCATTTCTGTTAGAGGCTGAGTAAACCCCAGGGCGGGTGGAAGGATTAGGTCAACTGAAAAAAATCCAGTGACCTCATTGGGACTTGAACCCGCGACCTTCCGGCTTGTAGCATAGCCCCACAACCAACTACGCTACCGTGTGCCCCAGATTCATCCAATTGGAGGGAGAAAGCGACACAATTTGAAACATCTTTCAACAACTGTTCAGTTATGTTTCCACACATCATTTCTGTTCGCCGGACAGTGGTGTTTCTTGATAGTTGAAGATGTTGAATAGGAGCTATCATCTGTTTCTTGTTTTTAACGAAAAGAGCAGTTCTGCACACTGTTGCAGATCCATACCAGGCTGTACTGTGACAGCAGGAACATAAACAGCTTTACAGCCTCTCTATACACCTACAGTAGAGATCCTGTTCCTGTACAGTCTGCAGGAACATTTTGAACACTTTATAGCTTACTGTGAATCTGCGATTTCTTACCTAAAAATGTCAAAGCGTAAATAACGCTCCAACATGACAGATGAACATCTCCAGGGTTGCCTGGAACTGGCCGTCACCCAGTACTCACCTGACTTCCAACAGCTGGTGGATGAAATGCAGGCCCAGACGCCTCACTAACGAACAATCTGTACTTTCAATGTATGTTGCTTTTACAACAAACATCATGTGTCGTGTTATTTTTACCAATATTTTTGCTTAAAGCGAGATACGACGATAGGAGGGGACGGTAGAGCACTGGCAGTTTTGACACTAAAACATCTATGACAACGTGTTTGAAGTTTGACATGTCTGCTGTACAGGAACGGATTATGGCTTGCTGTAGGTGTAGAGGCGCCGTAAATCTATTTACGTTCCTGCTGTCGTCTTATCGACGGACAAGAGACCTTCACAATATGCAGAAATTCACTTTTCGCTGACTTTCAGACAAGGAGGCGGGGGAGGTTTCACATAAATTTAAGTGTTGTTTTTGGCGGTCGTGGTGTCACGAAGTTCGAGAACTGATGTTCTGACCCGTGGCCCAGGCGTTTGCAGACATCGATGCTGTATCTCAATACTCTCGAACACAGTGCTCAGGAAATGAGCAGCTTTGCGCAGTTTGTTATGTGCAAGCGGTGCCGATGGGTTGAGCTGTTCAGTAGGAATTTATATCTCCATCTGTTGGATTGGCCGATGACAGTGGCCGTGTGGTCTGTGTGGCATGAACTATCTTCGCTCGAACGCTTGGTTCGTGGGTTCGAATCCCACTCAAGGCATGGATGTCTGTGTGTGCGTTTATTCTGTGTTTGTGTTGTCCACTGCTTAGGTAACGGCTTTGCGATGGTCAGATCCCCCGTCCAGTGAGTCCTACCGTCTGTGTAAAAAAGACTACGAAACTGAGGAGGCCAGGGCCCAACAAAGAGCTGTACAGCCACTGATGAGTGAACGACCAAACTAAAGAGTATTGGATTGAAATGACTTAGGATAGGGACTAGAGGAGGGCTCTTGTGAACATGGCAGTGAACCTTCGGGTTTTATGAAATGTTTGGAAAATTCTTGAGTAGCTGAGCGACTGGCATCTTGTCACGAATGACTCATCTCCATGTAGTTAGTTTTATTTGGACATCGTATTTTAGATCTTTTAATGCATTTTGAGGAGCCCGGTCTGAGTCATTTGCAGACTTGACGAATGGATAGTCTGGGTTCGATTTCTAGTAGGAGTTGAGATTTATCTGTTCGCCGCCGTGTCCGGGGTGGCTGTTGTGCCCACCTTGTGTCACTGTGGCTACGATTGAGGTTTTTTCTTTCACGCATGCGTCAGCTCATACGCTCCATTGTGACCCGCGCCGAGACTGGCGGGAATCGTGAACATGGACGAGCCCACTTGAGTCGAATGATGGGCAGAGATGTGAGTCTCCTGGACTTTTGGAGACATATCCATCTGGTTGGAGCCGGGATAGCGCAGTCGGTATAGCAACTGGATACGGGCTGGACGACCGAGGACTCGAGAGTTCAAGTCCCGGTAGGATCAAGAAATTTTCTACATGGTGTCCTGACCGACCCTGGAGCCTGCCCAGCCTTCTATCCAGTGGGTACTGGCGGCTCTTT